ATGTATGTATGTATGTATGTATGTATAATGTATTTGGGAAGCCAGGGTGGCGTAGTGCATAGTTTCCTGCCTCTCACCTCTATAGATGGTCCCGGGTTCAAACCCTGGACTCACGAACACCTTAAGGGAGTCTACCTTAATGGTTTCCCTCCCTCCACAAAATTCAACCCTTATTCGATCTGAGCTGTGTTCCATGGTCAGACATGAGTTATATTGCAGCTGCCACTGGTGCCTTTTTATACCTTCGACTCTGCCTTGTTGAGCAGCACCTTTGCAATTCAGATCAAAGCTAGAGATGTAGTGCAAGGGGTCTATAAGTACTTTCTTATATATGAGTTTTGTTTTTATTTCTTTCAGTTTTCATACCTAAAAGTTTTTGAACCCTACTTTAATTCACGAAATAAAGGGAATGAGGTAAGGCCATGTTATTCTTCTAATTCATCAAATTAAATAAATAAAAAATATCTTTTTTAGCATCAAAGAGAAGACAGACAAAAAAACTGTCGTCAGCGAGGAGCGCACGCTCTTTCCGTTTGAAAAACGAGAAGTTTTTATCGTCGTTTTTGTTATTGCAAAAAACAAATTTACAATAGATTTTTTATTTGTCTTTCCTGTTATTGGCTATAACTTTCGTAGCCGAGTGGACCCGCATACCACTTTGACAATGTGATGACGCAATTTATCGTTAATAAAAGGAAAGACATAAAAAAACTGATGTAAATTTATTGAAGTTAAGTGTCTAGTCGTTCTAGCACTATCACACTAATTGGGGACACTTTTTCAGTCTCACACACTACCACTACATTCAACGTACTTGATATTTTATGTCTTCTTCAATCACAGGTCAAGACGAAGCTAGAAAAGAATAACGAGAAATTTAAAGCCATTACATCAAAGGTTAGTAAATGATTGAAAGTTAAACTTTACTGTTATAGTTATAATTACAAATTGAGGTTTCTCAATTTTGGTGGACCCCCGTTTTTCATTTGCCTTGTAACATTTGATATTCCATGATGATTATGATGATGGTGGTGGTGGTGGTGGTGGTGGTGGTGATGTTGATGATGGTGGTGGTGGTGTTGTTGATGATGATGGTGGTGCGGTGTGGTGTGGTGACGATGACGATGACGACGATGATGATGATGATGATGATTGATGATTAATGATGATGATGATGATGATGGTGGTGATGATGATGACGATGATGACGATGATGATGACGATGATTATAATCAAAACTACAGGAAACTAAGGCAATCATAATAATCATTTTGATAATTTATACCTCAGGTCATCAATGGACAAACATTAAACTCTCTTCTCCTGATGCCAATCCAGGTATGATGTCAACCTTTGTACCTAATATTTCATCCAAATGGAGGTCTATAAGATATTGGTCAATGCGCTCATCCCTTTTGTCTTATTTTCAGAGAATACCAAGATATGAAATGCTACTTAAAGAACTTCTCAAGAGGACAAAGGAGGTAAAAAACAAAAACGATGCAAATGATGTGTCGTTATTTTTGAGAAGAAGATAACATTTCTAACTTTATTGCATTATGTTATCAGGATCATCCAGATTACGATAACCTCACTGAAGCACTCTCCAAAGCCAAGCAGGTATTAAATTAATGCAATTCTTTTTCTCCCACTGGCAACGCGATTTTATGCTTTTGTTACATTGCCTGCACCAAAGAAAGATTGCATAGCGTATCAGCCCACACAGCTGCAAAGGCAAAAGTATGTCTTGTAGTCTCGACAACCGCAACAACATTCTCAATAGGGGCAATTCGGGCAGTTTTATTAAGAAACCTTTGGGAACCATAGAGTTATAGGCGAATGCTAAAACACTTGAGGAAAAGATTTTCGTCTGAAGTGAGCTATATTTTCGTCTGAAGTGAGCTATATTTTCGTCTGAAGTGAGCTATATTTTCGTCTGAAGTGAGCTATATTTTCGTCTGAAGTGAGCTATATTTTTGTCTGAGATGAGCTATATTTTTCAAAAAGTCAGAACTAAAAGAAACTTTAACGTATCCCTTCATTAATATATTTTCCAAGTTTTTGTATGTGTTTTGCATAGCGCGCGTAATATGCTTGTCCGAAAGAATGCCTTGTTTTCGAATCTCGGCACGCGATACTTTTGACAGCGCTCGAGCATCTCGGGAATCGTCTACTGTTATTTCAATTCACTTACGTCGCCGGCGCGAGAAAGGAGCTTCTTAACATTTCTGTACCATGCACTGAGCCAAAGCTTCAACCTTTGTAACAGAATGTATATGTTTTCAGGGTGCCGCTGATCTCAACGAACACATACGAAAAATAGAAAACGAAACGAAAGTTATAGAAATCATGAAGAGCTTTCCTAATGACGAACTGGTAGGATGTTACAGACTTTTCCTTACCCCTCCCCCTCTGAGGCTTCAAATGGCTTCCTCTTACTGAACAGAAACGACAGAAATTCCAGAACAGGGAATGAGGCGATGAGGGCGAAAGGACTAATTGTTTAAGTCAAATCTAACTAGTCGGTCAAATATTTAGATGCAAACACTTTTCGCTACTAGTAGGCTTTAACTTATAGCCTACTAGTAGCTCATCCAATCAGAATGCAGCATTGATGATAGACTGCTAGTTGGATTTGACTAAAGCTTGTTATTCTTTACTGCATGCAAACTTTGAGGGGCGCTTTGAGGGGCATGAATACAATAGTAGCTTGGTATGGAAGAGAGAATAAGAGTTGCATACATAAAAATGTATATTGAAAATTTACAATGACACAGAGAAGGATTAGCTCAACCTTCAAATTTACAAATATTTATGCATTATGTCAATTTTTCCAATCTTTTAGAATCTTATACATGTGGCAAGTCAAGCATCTCTTGGTAAGTTCAGTTGTTCATTTGTTCATCTATCCGTGCGTCCGTCCGCGCATCCGTGCGTCCGTCCGTCCGTCCGTCCGTGCATCCGTCCGTGCGTCCTTTCGTTCGTTTCCACTTGTTTCCACTCGTTCTTCTGTCTGTCCGTCCGTTCATCTATGCATTATTGCTTATCTTCATTTTAAAATGTATTTTTGAATTTAATTTTCCGCCATTACTGATAAAATTCAATTTGTTTCCATCCCTTTTAGGGAAGACATTTGGTTCTGCGGGAAGATTAAAGTAGGTCAACATATGAAAGTTCTACTTCACTTTGTTCGTTTAAGTATCTTGACTAAACTCACCAACCTTTTTTTAGGAAACAAGATCAGATGTATTCGATCAACAAAAAAGTAAAAAGGTACGGTGAAAATGAAAAAGTAGTTATCTTTTTTAGCGAAAACTCGGCCTCAAGGTGGCGGTAATGCGTTCTTATCATGCGCGCGCACCGTCAGGTCATGCGCAGCTTTTTTTCGTCTTTGTTGCAATTTCGAGCCAAACATAACCTTCACTTGAAATTCGGTATCAGCAGTAAAATGGGTTTCAATATTGAACTCAGCTCATGGGCCTTACGCGGCAGCCATGTTTATTCTCATGAGAATAAAGCCGCCGATACACGCTACAATTGTTTCTCGCGCTAGCAATGCAATCTCGATTATTCCGTTGCATTGCCAGCGCGAGACACAATTTCGGCGTGAATCACACCTCGCGACTTTGACGGCAACGATGTCGCAACGCAAAAATTGTTGCAGAAAATCAAATAGTTTGAACTTTTCTCTGCGACATTTTCAGAATTGCACGCCTAAGAATAGCGAAAACTGAAAATGGCAGCATCTATCACCCATGTTTACTCGCAATGCAATAATACTATTCAGACTAGCCAATCAGGATTTAATACTGATTTTTACTGCTTTTTATCTTTTTGATATGGTACTGAGACGTTGCAATTTTTCGCTGCAACAAAGATGTGAAATTGCGTTACCAGAGCAAGAAAAAATTGCAGCGTGTATCGGCAGCTTAAAAACCTTTGTTTAACCCGCATTAATTTAGGCTATATGTGGGAAAATATATTCTTCCAGTCAACATGGCTGCCGCGTGAAAAAGGCCCATTAAGCGATCTTTTTTCATCTTTTTTCATCTTTTAGACTTTCATTGCCATTGGCCAATGTCATCGATGTCACTCCTAACAAAATCCCTCGGTCGAACACAGCTTCTCCCGTCCCGGGTGTCCGTCACCATGACGACAGCGAGAGTGATAGCGACAGCGATTCAGTATCATCCGCACTGGGAGACAAATTCATCACGAGGTTAGTAAATATTTATGGTATAATGAAATCGTACGTTCGGCAGATTGAGAATGGTATACAGTCGAACCTCTATCATACGACCAACCTTTATTTAGCAACTACTTTTTTTCTTCAAAAGATAAGGCATAGAGTCATTTCAGATAATAGAAATCTAGATAGAACAACGTAAATCTACTTTCTGGGGGCCAGGAGGGGAGGGACGAGAGACTATTGATTTCTCCTACTTAAAATATTGCATTTTGGTTTCGTGACAGTATCCATGTGTACGAGGGTTCCGTCGAACGAGTCACACGAAAAGCTACTGGCTCCAGCGAAGGGGGAATGGTTCACGAGACAGTTGAAAGGTCAGTATTCTGTTAAAAAATCGCGGTATGGGGTTGCTGTGTCGTGGTTTTGTTATTTGGTGGTCTGTCATTGGTTTATAATCAAGTACCATTGACTCTGCACTGTTTCTTTGCCGCTTTTGTCACAGTCTTATTAAATTAGCTACTTATCGCCCTAAACATAATATCTCCTTAAAATTTGTTGCCCGCCATCTTGGAATGATGGCGTCATTGACTCATCAATCCAAGATGGCGACCACGGTCTGTTTAAAAGTAAAGTGTACTAATATTCAGTATTTTTATGGATTCCTTTTCATGTTTTATTTAGATATTTATTTCTTTTTAATGATGTTCTACTGGTGTCGATGGTAAGTAATGTCTAGTAATGGCTTGAATTAATTCTCGAGCCAATTAGGAGCAAGCAACAACGCTTAGATTTGATTACATAGTGCAGTTTTCGTATGACTGTGAAAAGTTAACGGCACGAACACGGTCGTGCACAGCAAGGGATACGCCAGACCAATCACATTGCACGAGAATTTACTCTTTATCCAATCAAATACCCGGAACACGTCATAAACACGGCGCGGACACGGTCACGCCAAGTTCACGGCACTTTTAGGCCAATCATATTGCGCGTAAAAAAATCGGCCAATTAAAATTCTAGAAAGTATCACGGTCACGGCACGTCACGCTTACGGCACTGAGCTTTTCACAGTCATACGAAAACTGCTCACGAAGATGTTATGAACATTTTGTGTTGATATTAAACATCGTGATTGGCTGAAATCAATGTGATACTGATTCTGCTCTCTCCTGATTGGTTACAGTTTTCACTCAACATCGTGATTAGTTAACATTGCAAAAGTGGTCGCGTCCGCAATGCGCAAGAAATTGAATGTCTTAATATAGAGTTCTGAATTATAATTTTAATTTAAAAAAATTATACTCCATCGTTTGTCTTTTGACTACCAGTTTTTAAAAGTCTGACTAAAATGTTGATCCGAAATTCACATTTTCAGGCATCAGATAATTTAATTACGGGAAAAAGGACGCATAAACTGAAAACCGCCATCCCACTGTGCCAGGCGTGGGTGACACAGGCATATGTATATTACAGCAGTCCCCCTGAAAACAGTAAGTTAGATGTCTTTACATTCTAAAGGCCTTGTTACAGGGTGCAGTCACAGGTTTAGGATTTTTTTAAACAGCTTTATTGGCCTTCAATTTTCTCAATGAACATATAATTAACAAACATACCAAAGAAAAAAAATACAAGAAAGAAGGACCAAGAGGGTGGGCGCGAAACGATGGTGTCCTCGGATTCATTGCACACCCATAGATCCGCTATGGTCCAACTCTAGGAGTAGTTCTATTTTGTTGAAGCTTTAACTTACAAAGGTCTCTCACTACACACACTTTTGATAACGCCGTATGACAGGGCCTTGATGCTAGGTTTTATTCTTCCTTTGCACAATACTGACTTCATCGCAGCCATATTGGTGGTATTCAATGAGGTATTCCTCTTCAGCCTCCTTCATTAATTCTTTGATTGTACGTTACGTCATCGCGGAGACATTTCCCATTAGCATCTATTGTTAACGGCACCAAAATGGCCGACATGTTTTTGTCTTTTTACTCTCTTGGGAATGCTCGCAACCCATCAATACCATCAACATAGCTGCCAAGTCTTTTCTTTTGACTCTCTTTAGTTGAGAATGATTGCAAACCATCACTATTTATTTCAGGGGCGGATCCAGGAATTTTCAAAGGGGGGGTTGTAGCATTGATTACGTACTTGTTTTGCGGGAAAGTAGCACAGGGTTCCCAAACGGAAGTAGGTCTTATGATAATGATTATTTGCTGCAGGCGAGCATGGTTGTTTCAGGTCCTACACACGGCGTATAGAAAAAAAAGCGAGCGAAATGTGTTCGGCACCCCTGTTTTAATAAAACTCGCGATGCTGTTGGTGTTGCCATGAAAAAATAATAATAATAAATCACGATGGCTCTCATAGGGGGGTTGCAACCCCCAAAACCCACCCCTAGATCCACCACTGTATTTATTATTTATTTCTGTCTTTCCGATGTTTGTTCACGGAACTTCAAGAGGCTTGTCTGGCGTAGTTTGTCTTGATCTGAATATGAGATTTTGTTGTTCAACAGTGTTCTTACTTGGTACCCCATCTCATATTTACAAGTTCTTGGCTCCTTCAGTCAAAGAGAAGGAAAGTTGGGAGCAGAGACTGAAAGAATGTATTGCACAAGCTAAAGACGCCATCACACAGGTAATCCGATAGCAGATATTATAGTTACACTCTATTGCTTTCAAACAATAAACCTTTCCCGAATTCGCTTGGATGACCACGAAACAATGGTTTGAAGTCGAGACTAAACTTGATTCTTTTATTCATCAATTTCAACCTCGACTTGATCAGTCAAGCGAATACGGGAATGGTCTATTGTTTCAAGCCTAGGTATTTGGGTCAATATAATGAAATGTATAGAAACTGATCCAAATGTAACAATTGTCTGAAGGCGATAGAATGTAACTCTGCTATTATTCAATTCCCAGAAATAGGCTCCCTAAGGACCTTTTTAACTTTGTTGTTCGTTGCACACATTTCAGACCATGTGATGTCACTCTTGGGAGTTGAATCTTTCATGTGTAAATATTTTAACCTGTTCGCAGGCATCCCATACCTCCTATATATCCTATATTTCCTATAATTTGTATATGATCCTATAAAGAGCCTATATTTAAAGAAAACCTCCTATATTTCCTATAAATAGGACGACTGCTGA